TCCAGGTTTTGTGCTGTTGAGATTCTTGCACGAACTACCAGAGAAAGACTGAACACTTTTATGTCCAACCAAAGTGATACTTTACAAAACAAACCGCTACACAAATGTGTGGGACCCATACAATTATAAATAAGTCTACTTCTCACACAAACATCCATTCAAACTAAAACTTGGATACAATTATCCAACTAGTTATACATGAGTTATACAACTAGTTATCCACACATGGATATATCCACATTAACTGAACTGTCTGTGACATAAACTGTACATTTTGATCTTGGAAATATTTACAACCAAAAAAGGTGCCAAACACACAAGTCCATGTTCTCGTGGGAATGTCGTTCCTGTGTGTGTTTTGGTGGAGCTGTGTGTGTTTTGGTGGAGCTGTGTGTGTTTTGGTGGAGCTGTGTGTGTGTGTGTGTGTGTGTGTGTGTGTGTGTATGTGTGTGTGTGGTGTGTGATTTGCATGTGCATAAATGTATCTTGATGAGGACTGTGTGAGAGATTGTTTAGATGTGTGTATGTGATTGTGTGTGTATGTGATTGTGTGTGTATGTGATTGTGTGTGTATGTGATTGTGTGTGTATGTGATTGTGTGTCTATGGTTAGCATACGCAAACCCCCCATTGTCCCTCCACTATCTTGATGTGATGTTTCAAGGAAACCTTTTCCCCATTGACAGGCATGTTGGTCGATCTTAGTTCCCTCAGCCAGTAGTTCCCTAACATGACAATCTACAGTTCCTGCAATGTTAACCTGCAGTTCCTTGCAATGATAACTTGAAGTTGTTGCAATGTTAACCTGTCGTTCTTGCAGTGTTAACCTGACGTTCTTGCAGTGTTAACCTGCAGTTCCTTGCAATGTTAACCTGAAGTTCTTGCAATGTTAACCTGAAGTTCCTTGCAATGTTAACCTGAAGTTCCTTGCAATGTTAACCTGAAGTTCCTTGCAATGTTAACCAGAAGTTCCTGCCAACAAGTAGCTTCCTGTCACTTCAGCCAGCGCGTCAAAAATGTCAAAGAATGGAGTTTTCAGGGGTTGAATATGTTATCTCTAATATCCAGCGGGTGTCTCCGATGACTTGTGGATCTCTCAGACCACATCCGGGTATCTCCAGTGATAACGTGTGGGACCAGACAGGGCAAGATCCACCAAGTATGTATGTAAAAAATCACAGCCGTTTTTTCTGTGAAACAAACAAGCACGGCATATTAGATATAAAGATTAACTTATTTGACGACATTAGAAAAACATAATAAAGTTCTACACAATCACTGTACTGGGGTAAGTTTAAGATAGGCCAGTCTCGTATACTTAACGTTGCCTTTTACGAAAGGGTGCGGGTGTAGTGGTATATGCCCCCCCCCCCCCCCAATGGAGCAGAAGCAACAGTAATAGAAGAGGAAGCATAAATATATAGTAGTTGTGGTGGTGGTAGTAGTAGTAGTAGTAGTAGAATCGAAGTAGCAGTAGTGGTGGTAGTAGTAGTAAACTAGTGTAGTAGAAGTAGCAGCATCACAAGCAGCAGTAGTAGCAGCAGCAGCAGTAACAGCACAAGCAGTAATAGTAGTAGTAGTAGTAGTAGTAGTAGTAGTAGTAGTAGTAGTAGTAGTAGTAGTAGTATAAGCAGTACTGTAGTAGCAGTAAACTAGTGTAGTAGAAGTAGCAGCATCACAAGCAGCAGTAGTAGCAGCAGCAGCAACAGCACAAGCAGTAATAGTAGTAGTAGTAGTAGTAGTAGTAGTAGTAGTAGTATAAGCAGTACTGTAGTAGCAGTAGTAGTGGTAGTGGTAGTAGTAGCAGCATCACAAGTAGTAGTAGTAGCAGCAGCAGTAATAGTAGTAGTAGTAGTAGTAGTAATAATAGTAGTAGTAGTAGTAGTAGTAGTAGTAGTAGTAGTAGTAGTATAAGCAGTATTGTAGTAGTAGTAGTGGTGGTAGTAGTAGCAGCAGCAGTAAAGTAGCAGTAAGAAGATCTTGGGGAAAATTAGATGTTATCGCTCCCACTTTAGCGCCTGTTGAAATACGACGCTTGTACAAGGCGTAAACACCATATAATGTACACATTCTATACTGTACAATATATATACATACGAAACAGCATGTCTATATACAACATTGTAAAATGTACCACACACACACACACAAGTGTACACAAAATGTAACTGACGTATCCCCCACACCTGCTGCAGGCTGGGCATATGTTCTTTACCCAAACATTCCATCACTTTAGACCGGCCCGAGCGCGGAAATAGCTCCCAGAGAAGGGACAGGGGGCGGGGAATAGAGATTTCAGCCGCGGTGAGAGAAAGAGAAGCCGAGATAAAAGGGCAAACACCTGCGTGCCGCAGTCAAGTCGAGGCGCCAGACTGTCTGGCTGGTGTTGGCCAAGTTCAGCAACAGTTAACGCAGCTGGGCGTGGGGTTAGTGGGAAATCGAGGAAACTCTTCGAAATAGGATGTTTGTAGAGATTTGGTGCAATGGGGGAAAGGGAGAGA